CTTTTGGAGTTGAGGAACATTATCAAGTCTCGAGTTTTCCTGTTGGTCAGCAAAGAAATAGCTGAAGAAATATCAGACAGCATCATTTGAATTGAGTCAGAAGTATGCTGTTGCAGAACAAAAGGAGCAACTGCCTGTACTTGATGTTGCAGTGATAAAGTTTCTTCATTCGTTAACTCCATCAATCGTTGTTTCAGGAATGCTTTTACCTGATATGTACAAAGGGAAAAGAAGGTACAGAACATTATGTTACAGAAAGTGAAATCAGGGACATTCATATCATGGAAACATTAAGAGCATGTTTGAACAAAATCAAACCCAGTAAATGCTACTCAGAAGTAGTGTTTAGTTAGGGTGCGATTTACATAGATCTTTTACTTCTACCATGATGAGTCCAAAAACTATTTCCGTGAAGGCGACCAAGAAAAAGTAATAGCATGTACGGTAAGGGTAAATTTTGGTTGATATGGTGGTAGTCACTGCATTGGTAAAACTATCAATCATAGTTGTTACGGCGGCTAAGCGAGGCTGGGCGCTAGAGCACCTTCCAATCACCTAGGCGATTAGGCACCCGCCTAGGCATCCGCTGGGCGAGTGGGCTATGGCGACCAGAATAATTTTATAGGTACTAATGTTAAAGCATATAGTATGAAATAATTAGTTAAAATGAACACTGATACCAATTTTATGAAATAGAGTATGTGTGTGTGTGTGTGTCTACGCACACACACACATATATATAAGCCTACTCCAATAAAGTGTGCTTTTAAAAGGCCTATTAAATTTTGGGCCTTATACTCATGTGTAAAGGTCCAATAGTCATTTAATGAATCTAGCCCAGTTATTTGACTTAGTCCACTAGTCTAAATGATAGAGAGATAGAAAGAGGCAGTGAAGGTTGTTGCACATCTGGAAGCCGCTGCAGACCCCGACAAATAATCGGAGAGAAAGATAAGTCTTTTCTCTATCTTCTCCGTCTTCTCTCTCTATCTCGCGTGTTCCCTTGCGCTTCTAAAACGGAGACGCGTCTCCGAGATGGAGACACAGTCACTGACGTTTCCGTACAACACAGTCGCCCAGATGCCTAAGAGTCGCCTAGGCAAAGCCTTGATAACTATGCTATCAATAAAAAAATTAAATTAAACTTAAGAGAATGATATATGATAATAACGGTAAAAAAAGTACATTCTTGCAGTTCATCAGTTTCAGCTATAAAAAGGAAACTTTTGCACTGCATTTTGTTTATCATCAACCAGTTCATCTAATTATGTCAGATTAGGTTGATAAGTAGAATATGTCTGTCAATTACCAGAAAACCACTTAACTTTCTAACTCTTTCCACTTGTACAAGATGAGCACCAATAAACTTGCATAAAAATGAAGAAAACAATAAAGATGATGATGATACTAGTGGTGAAACAAAACGATTTAAATATAAACAGACCTCAAATAAATCATCAAGAATTCCATTCCTATATTCAGTCTCCAGAAGCGGACTCCTTTCCCTACAAGAGGCGTAGGCTTCAGTTGAAGTACTGGCACTGGGCAAGGTATTCAACAAGCCAATTTCTTCAACCACGTCGACTTCGGGATTGTCCACACTTATATCCCACGATATTTCTGATACAGACGCCTCAAGAGCCGAGGTTTCAACTTGGTTCTCAAGATGTGACTCCACTGTTTCACTGGCATTCACAATCTCATAAGGACCCAATCCATTACCATTTTCCTCTATTTCTTCTACAACAGTTCCAATGTCCCAAACAATTTGGGAGCTGTCCAAGGTGATATCCCAATCAATGCCATCGGGGGTGCTGTCTGCTTCAATGATAGCGTGACTCTCCACATACTGACTGGTTAGCACAATTTCAGAATCAAGAAACTCTGAACTCACAAATACATCAAGGGACGGTGACTTCTCTCGAGCCCCTCTCAAATTTTGTAACACTATTTTCTGCTACCAGAACAAGGTAACTTTTAATGTTACAAGTGCATATCTCATCCTAAATTCATAACATCTATCCAGAAGCTAACTAATCATTAGTGGTTTAATGCCATATAGTTTGGGTTAGTGGCATTAAATTTGTAGTGCCAATTAGTTATATAAAAAATAAATTGCCACTATAGTTCATGAACAATAACATGCGGGCATTATTTTATACTGGATGTCAGTCCTTTGGCAACCTTCATTAGAATGATTAATACATGGAAAATATCATGAGACAGAGTGATGAGTTGTGATATTTGTGTTATTGTCATATCCAATATATTATTGATATTGCAAGACCAACATGCAGATCATGGGACATGAGCAATCCAGCAGCCTCACAAATAGTTTTCAAAAACTAATATTTATTAAATGTAAAAATAATTACTTAGCTTGAATATCAAACAAATAGCTAAAAAACACAAATTGATGTTTCTCTTACATTCTTTTCCATGTGAGCTTCTTTAACAAAGTTTGAATAATATTCGAGAGCCTGGGACAAAGAATAGCCATTCAGAACTTCCAGAATTCTGCTGAAAATTGTTGGAAGTGTATTTGTGGCGGTCTCTAGCAACTCTGACCTGACATTTACTCCCTGAATGAAAGAAAAAAAATCAAAGATTGGCAATGCAAAAATAAATGAACAGTTACTGAAACAATGAAAAAACTCTTAAGGCAAAACCTGTAACCCTAGCTCCTGGCAAGCTTCAATAAATTTTGCAGCTGAAAGAGTTGCATGTCTTTTTATATCAGCTTCCTTGCGCTCCAACTCAGATAGTTGATGTTGAGCTTTATGAATCTGTTTCTTGTGGTAGGGACTAGAGAGTAGACCAGTCAATCATGTGGAGTTCAAAACATAAATCCTTGGGAAATGCTTCAGATATTGAGGATACTTACATTTCATAATTAACATTTTGAACCATTATCTGAGCAGCCTCACCAAGGAAAATGTGTTCTTTCTCATACGCACGTAGAATTGCTTCCCAAACACCCTGTCAATATTGAAAGCAGCTTTGTATTTCACTGTTTGGAGAGAGAGAGAGAGAGAGAAGAGGGAGATGCCATTGATCTTACAGCAGCACCTGAAAGCTGGCCAAAGATATTGCGGCTTTCGGGGGATGAATTCTGAAGAACCTCATATATGTATTTGGCTTCTAAATAACCAATCCCTGCAAACAAAAAAAATGTGGAACCATCATGCTTGGACACTGCTCAAATATCATATGATTTTAAATTAAAAGAACAGTTTACAAAACAATTTTGATAAGATTTGTGATGGCAGAAACATGTAAAATTGACTGTTCGAACGTGATGAGTTTTCGTACATCCATTTCCAATGGTGTTCCAATAAACTCTGTAGACAGATTAACGCTGAGATAAGTTACCCAGCTCAAGACAAGACACTAGGGAGGCGATGAAAGTTTAGTAGTTGACCTCTCTCTAAAACTAACCGATGAAATGAATTATGATTCCCATGAGTCTCTTTTACATTTAGAGATACTCAGAACTGAAGGCATTTATTATCTCAAAAAGTTCTTAAATTAAGGCTTTCTAAAAAGTTAGAGAATGAAACCCACAAAAAAATGTTAGCGCATCCAGTATTCCAGAAGTGAAAAAATAGAAAACAGATTCTGAGTTTTATATTTTCTTTGTGTAACCAAAACACCTGCAGACTGCAGTTAAGTAGTCAACCCAGACACCTTTTTTTCCACCACCAAAAACCTTACCTCCAATGTATAATTGCTTCAATTTCACAAGTACTAGGCGATGGCAATTGTAACCCAACTTATCAGAGTCACAGTAGTCATCACTTAATACTTACACCACTGCAAACAATAGCCAAAATCCTTCAACACAGCGGCTGACTACCTTATCCATTGCAGACAGTTGTGATAAAGATATGTGCAGAAAACATCAAAATTAGAATGGACAACAACAACAACCCAGTTGGATCCCACAAAGTAGGGTGTGTACGCAGACCTCGCCCCTACCCAAAAGTAGAGAGGTTGTTTCCATGAGACCCCCGGCTCAAGCTACACACAAAAAGGATCACATAGTAGATACATAAAGCAAGGAAAGCATAGATACAACGCAAATAAAGCACCAAGCACACAGCATTAAAACTAAATTAAATAAAGTAAAGTTACAAAACGAGAGTATTGCAAGCAAATAGAAAATAGCGCCAAGCACAAAAGGCCTACGAGGCACAAAACAACATCATGCTCTAGCAAAAGGCACCTACCAAGTCACTCTAATCATATATCTCCAAACGATCCTATCTAAACCCATATCCTGAGTAAGGGCAAGAAGTCCTAAGTCCTGTCTAATCACCTCCTTCCAACTCTTCCTAGGTCTACCTCTTCCACTACTTCCTCCTACCAACTTAAGTCTCTCGTATCTCCACACTGAAGCGTCAACATTCCGCCATCTCACATGACCGAAGCAAACTTCCTCGTTTATTTTGTTTTCTTTCGTCTTTCTGAATTCAATAGAGATGAACTTTAATCTACTGGCCAATAGAGTGGGACATGAAACTATATAAGTTAATATGAAAAAATAGATCATAAAAGTAAGAGAGCTAAGTAGCAAGAAGACTCCGGAGAATTAAGGATTCAATCCCTTCTCCGAACTTGGAAAGATACTTATAGTACAGTAAATGGGCAGTTACGATCTACTTATTGCGGGGCTAATTACTGATTAATTAGCGGCATGTGGAGAGCCTCCCTGCTTACACCTAGACCTAATCTCTGTCATCGCACCCGGATGGCCTCGCTCTCGGTCAGGTACGCCGACCCAAATCATGTGGGCCTCCCCAGATGACCCAAAACGGATCAGCCCTTTCGATCCTGTTCAAAGAATATGACGGTGGGCTTAGGCATATTGGGCCTTATAACTGCTTGCTCTCTAGGCCAGTCCAATTAGAAGAGGCAATACAAGAAATTACATTGAGTTACAAAGATTTGGGATATCCAGAACCAACCTAGAGATGAGGCATTGGGTTGATAGGAGCAGTATGCGGAGTGCCTGGGTGACTGCACGCGTCTTCCCAATCTGCAATCATCATTACTACCACTCTGATTCCATCATTGCAACCTTGATTGCTCTGCCTTCAGCCTTCACTCATTCGTCATTCGCACAATCCAAAGGAGGGTCTCCTTCCTCTTAGAAAAACGGGTCTCCCTTTCTCACAAGGGATTTTGTAACTGAGATTCTCAAGCCCTCTGCAAAATCATTCCTTACTTCTTTGCATTCCGCACTTTCGATTTCAACCTTTTTTCTCCTTTCTCCGATTCTGAACTATGACTCGCACCCAAATCGTCTGTTTTGGACTTTCACCTAACACATATCTACAAGACCGATGAAGAGCTTGACGAGATACAGATGGTGCTGGGAGATATATGCAACATCCACTACCTTGGAAACGGCCAAACTATGGTGGATAATCCAGAACCCAATTGTCTAGCCTTTGTAAACGTTCACAAATTCAGATGGACAAGCCCATCATCTTTGATAAATTTAGCGCTTTGCAACGGTTTGCAGGTGGTAACAACGGGCCCCATGTTGGTGCCTATCCAAGTAAGCATGCTCTCTTTGCAAAAGTCCCTGAGAAAGTTGATAGCAGGGAGAAGTAGTTCATAATGCGCCACCCAGCTGGAAACCAACTCCCCTTCCCCAATACCTAACATCTTTCTTTCACACCACCACCTTCGATGGCAGAGATTTTACTTTATAGGTTGTCAAGAGGATGAAGAACCATACCGGCGCAATCCCTCATGGAAACATGAATGTAGAGAGGTTTGCCTTAGCTTCAAGGCCGGGTTATATGACAGCTGGATCGCTCCAGAGGAGTAGCAAAGGGAGCAATAGATACTGAGGGCTCCATACATTCTGGTGAGGAAATCATTGAAGATGTACCATCCTTAGAGGACGAAACAGCAACTCTCCTTCAGAAGATGTCCTCCATCCCCCTCCCCCCCAAGAGGCAAGGGGACTGATCCAACAATTACCCCCAGTGTGTGGCCAGGTGCCTTAAATGTATTCTTAGCATGCGGGCTAGGGATCTACAAACCACCTTCAACATGCAAGCCGGGGCCTTCAAACTAACCCTAGTGCCTAGTCTGCGGAATTTCAAACAATCACCTCCTGCACTCGGTGTGGGAACCTTTGAGGTAATTTCATTTCAGTTGCCTTGTTTCGTTTCACCTCTTTCAATTGCCATAATGCTAATCTTTGACTCTGGCTCCTCGTGACTTGCTGTTGCTAAGCCCAAATTCCATATGCCGGTGTTGAAGAAGATTGAGGTTGACCAACCTAGAAGCATCGGCCCAAAGTGGGTTCCTTTACTGATCAATCCTCTCATGAAGTGATACCTCATCCCTATGTGCTTCGTCTTGCCATGATAGACTCGATTTTTAGCAAGTTTCACCGCACTCTCATTGCCATAGTAAAATTAAGTAATCACACTGCTCTTTGCCCAACTCATTAAGAAAAGTCTTTAACCAGGCTAGTTCTTTACTGGCCTCTGCAACAGCCATATACTCGACCTTTGTTGGACATCCGGCTCACCACTGTTCCTCCCACTATAAAGACATACCCTGTAGTGCTCTTAAATATCTCTCTACAACCACCCAAATCAGCATCTTTAAAACCTCTTAGAATAGCATCCTTCCATCTAAAACATAAACCCATTTTCTAGGTTCCCTTCAAATATCTTAGTACCCATTTGACAGCTTCTCAATGTTCTCTACCCGACAAACAACCCCAACAGCATGAGCAATATCTGGTCGAGTGCAAACCATGGCATACAAGAGGCTCCCAACTGCTGATGAATATGGAACTTTATCCGTTTCTGATCTTTCTTCTTCAGATTTAGGTGATTGTTCTTTCGTTAGCTTCAAATGACTTCCCATAGAGTACTTCTAGGTATGGTCTTCCCGTCTTTCATCTTGAGTCTTCTAACACCTTCCCTATGTATTTCTCCTAGGACAGTGTTATTTCTGATGATGCTCATCCCCAGTATCTGTTTGGCTGGACCCAAATCTTTCATCTCAAATTCTTGAGACATTTGTTTTTTCAATTTGCTTATTTCTTTCATATCAGATCCTATAATCAACATATCATCAGCATATAGCAATAAGATGATATAAAATTTGCAAAATTTCTTCAGATAGCAACAATGATCCATCTCACATCTTTTAAACCCCGACCTCTCCATGAAGTTATCAAACTTCAGGTACCACTGTCTAGGTACCTGTTTAAGACCATATAAGCTCCTTTTCACTTTGCAAACCCAATTTTCTTTGCCGACAACCTGAAACCCTTAAGGTTGTGCCATGTAAACGTCTTCATCTAGATCATCATGTAGAAAAGTTGTTTTCACATCTAGTTGCTCTAGATGTAAATTCTCTTCAACTACAATACTCAAAACTAACCTAATGGTTGTCATTTTCACCACTAGAGAGAAAATCTCATCATAATCAACCCCCCTTTCCTGGTGAAACCCCTTGACCACTAAACGGGATTAATATTGTTTAGACCCATCATGCTCTTCTTTGATCTTGAAGACTCATATATTTTGTAATGCTCTCTTACATCATGGAAGCTTAACCAGAACCGAAGTTTTATTCTTTTTTTAGAGAACTTATCTTGTCCTCCATTGCATGTTCCCACTAGAGAGAATCTTTCATCTTGACTGCCTCGAAGTAGCTTTTTAGTTCATCATTTTCTATGAAGAAAATATAATTAACAGAAGGACTATACCTATTTGGTTTCTTTGTAACTCTGGTGGACCTCAAGTCAGATTATTGTGGGGATTCTTCATCTTCAGACTTTGAACTCCCACTGTGAGAGGCTACCTTTGAATCATCATTTCCACCGACTTCAAACTCTAGAACTGGGTTGACAATTTTTTCAGTTTCTTGTTCGGAAACCAGATCAGAAACTAGTTTAGCTTCCTTTGTTCCCATCTCAAACTCAACCTGGTCTTCCTGAATCCTAGAGTGCGATTCCTTTCTATCTTTGTACACTTTAGCCTCATTAAACGTAGCATGTTTACTTCTGACAACCTTTCCACATTCAAAGTCCCAAAGCCGGTAGCCCATCTTGTCAGCTAATAAGGGTGTACTTCTTGGCTTTTGCATCTAACTTATCACCATCTTCATCCAAATCATAAGCACTGCACCCAAAAACTTTCAGGTGCTTATAATAGACGGCTTTACCCTTCCATTCTTCTTGAGGTACTTTGAAATTGAACGAAGCTGAAAGTGATCGGTTGATTAGGTAGGCAGCAATGTTAATTGCATCAGCCCAAAACATCTTCGGGAGCCCTGTATTTATTCTCATACTTCAGGCTCTCTCGTTTAGAGTTTTATTCATCCTTTTTGCAACTCCATTTTGTTGAGGAGTGCGAGGAATAGTCTGCATCATCTGAATGCCTTTGTTCAGCACAATAGTTGATGAACTCTGTGCTAATGTACTCTTTGTTGTTTGATTTCAAGCACCTCACCTTCAGACCAGTTTCAATTCAACTGTTGTTTTTCATTTTTTAAAAACATCAGATACTTTAAATTTACTTTTAAGAAAATAAACGTATACCTTGTGTGTGGCATCGTCTATGAGAATCACATAAAATCTTGAGCCTCGCAAGGATTCAACTCGCGTTGGACCAAAAACATCTGAATGAATAAGCTCTAATTTCTGAGCTTTAAGTACTCTCCTTGTCTTCGCAAAAGATACCCTCTTGTTCTTACCATTAACACAAGGTTCAAAGAATTCAGATACAACTTTCTTTAGGTCTGGAAGCTTTTCTCTTGCGACAAGCATTTTCATCCCCTTTTCACTCATATAGCCGAGTCGTTCATGCCACATCTTGGATAGACTCCACCCATTGGTTGTTGTGTTAGCATCTCCTGCACTTGTCTCAGCCATGTACAAAGTACACTGTTTCTTTCCCTTAGCAATTACCATACTTCCCTCGACAACCTTCCATTGTCCACTCCCGAAGTGAAGATCATAACCCTGGTCGTCCAATTGCCCAATGGAAATTAACATCTTTCTCAATTTGGGAATTACCCTGACATCTTTCAATATCCAAATTGTTCCCATGTTGGTTTTCAAGTCAATTTGGGAATTACCCTGACATCTGTGAGGCATGCTCTAGCCATTGCAGAAGATCAGGCCCCCAACTTACCCAAGTTGTAGTGAAGGTGATGGAATCCATTGCTTTGGTTGTGGATGCAGAGGAGCCATAAGATGGCGTAGCCCTCATACATGCTCACAAGCAATGGTCTATATAGAGTACCATTTATACCACCTTGAAGAATAGCTTCCCCGGATGATACCTGATTCATGAGCTGAGTCTCCAAGCCTGTCTCGAAGATCCCAAACTACCCAGATTTATTTGTAGTTTCATTCTTGGATCCTTGTAAAACACATCATGATGAACGAAAAATCCATCCCATATGGTTCTATAAGTTATTGCTTGTGGTTGTGTTGCATGTTTACCTTTTTTGCCTGAATTTCCTTCGAATCCCTAGACCTTAAAAAGTCCTAGGGCCCTTCATGGCTCAGATGGGTCTAGTAACCTCGTAACCTTCTGCATTCCACGCCCTCGAGGGTCCTGAGGGAAAGGATCTCGTCCAGCCATCCCTAACCTACGTGCTCTTTTTGGTTGTCCCCGAGGGAAGACCTTCGAAAAGAGTCTTCTCACTTGGGAGTATAATCAAGGAAAGTTTTTTGCCCCTTGATCTTGAGTTCCGAGGGTCCCTCTGTGTTTTCACCCATCTCAGGGGTGCATCAAATCTCAAAGGAATTATGCCCTCCTCAATCTCCTAGGGTAGGTGATAATCTCTTAAGTGGAAGTATTGCATCCAACAGGGTGAACTCACATACCTCGCGCTCTATCGCAAAACATAGTAAAAATTCCAGCAATGCATCTAAAATATTTTGTTTGAAGAAACAATTAACCTTCAGATTCGAGAGTATGAAAGGAAGGATCTAAGTCCTTGGGTGTGGAAGCAAATGCCGTCATAATTTTTGCTCTCAAAGCTACCAGCCGTTTCCTCCAGTCAGCCGGAATCTTCTTTCGGTCGACCAACCATTCTTCAGCCATAACCAATCAAAAATTAAGTAGGTTTAAGTAATAAATCAGAACATTTAAATAATACAGAGAATGAATCCATACGGTTTACCTCCTAGACGAGCAAAGGCGATATCAATCGGAAGGTTACCGATGTCCTCCTGATTATGCATTCCTCCAAAAATTCAGGCAAGGTCGGCAAATCAATGGAGTGCCACTGTTAGGGAGAGGAGAAAGCAGAACGTACGCTCACGAACGCGGGCGAAGACTAAAAAAACAGCGACACTAGGCCCGTGGCACTGATGAACGGTATTTCATCTTCTATTCTTCATCCATATTCATTTTCTAATAATTAAACTCATTTTCAAGTAAACAAATGCTTATTTTTGAATAATTGAATATTTACTTTTTAACATAACTTAACTTTGAAAAATTGAACTTCATCCCGATGGCTCCCTCAAATCCGGTTTGGCAATTACTAAAAATAGTTAATTTAGAACATAACTGAATTTTAAAAATTAGTATTCAATTATTCGAAATTACGTATTCACTTTGATGGGATTAAATCCCACAACTATGGCGACGAAAAACGGAATTAGGAAAATAAATATCAATAGTAATGATTCTTGATGTATTTCCATTAATTGTTTATGTTTGTCCTTACTTGGCTTACAATGGAGGGTTCTCCCTCCATTTATACTACATAACAGTTACACACATGATGGGCACTCGTCGTGCGCATAAATCTTGCCTATTATCTCTTGTATGTCGATCGTGGAGGTTAACAACTCAAGCCCTGATCTTCCCAAGACTTGGGGGTGCCACGATTTGTATTATTCGCCTTGGCCTATCAATGGTAACTAGGCCTTTAGTATCACGTTTGCCAATCTTCGTTCCATACTTGCCCATTCCACTCTCTTATGGATTGGGTCGTTTATATTTGTTTAATGGTTCCGGATATCCATCACAGGCCCCCTAGTTTTTTAGTGACACGTCGCTAAGGAACTGTTGTTGTGCCGCCCTTTGTCCGAGCGATGGATCAGGAACGATTACATTTCCCACTCCCAATTCTGAGTTGTGACGCTTTTATTCCCGCTCCAACTCGCTAACCCATTTAGGCATTTGCATTGTTCCGGATTCGTCCCTAATTCATTTTGCAATCATAAATAATATTCAATACATAATTGTAAAAATACGGAGTGTTTAATACTGTTGCAGAAGCAAATTTAAAACATGTCTTAATACAATCAAAATTAATTATATAAATCCACACATCCATCACAACCATCTCGCCCCATCTGTCTCCGGGAATTCAGTACTCCATTCTTTTTGTTTACCTGCGTGTAACAAATAAAACAAACTACAAGCTCAGTGGTAAAGCTGAGTAAGCTATCTAATGTGTCGAACATCCATATAAATTGAATCTAAATTCATAATCAACTCATTTGATATCATGCACATAACATTTAGTTCAAACATTCAATAATCGACATTCAACATTCATATTCGTTTTTCAACATTTGACAACAATATTCTTAAACTATTCTTAGTCTAAGGCCAATTCCATTAATGTTTACCAACTCTTAAACTAATTCTAGTTTAACGTATTACTAACCAACTCTTAAGCTAATCTAGCTTAAGGTACAATTTTTCGAAAGATTTTCCAACTCTTAAACTAGTCTTAACTTAAGGTACACAATAATCGAACAGCAGAATGCTCACTGTCGGGTTGGGTGATATCCCCAAATGAGTGATCCTCCAGTTTGATTTGCAGATCTCGTACGTATGTTTTTACCCAGGCCACCAAATATTCATAGTTATACCCGCAAGGCGTATTTCTAATCTATCTTAGAGGTCTTCTAGATAGAATTAGAAACCAATATCAACATGCATATATCTTAGAGTTCTTCTAGATATCCTTTACAAATACAATCATTTCATAGTCATCAATGTATTCATTTAAAATCATGGTTCAGTCATTAAGAAATAATCATTCAAATCAGCAGGTTCATCCATCATCAATTCAACGTAATCATACATAATAATAATCATCATAATATTCAATAAAATTTAGCGGCCTAGCGTCGAGTGTTCACACTCTAGCTTACCGTCATGCATCAAATAAGATTCTTGGATTTAGCAAAACATCATATTTATTTCTAGAAATCATATTAATATGGATTATAATTGATTGGCATCAAAATAAGGATTTAATAGTTCAAAAATAAAATTTCTAAAAACTTCTTGGGTCAGAGAGTACCCTTAACGGTACCTTGGTACCGCCCAAACGGTAAGGGGTACTGTTTGTCGCCAGGTACTACCAGAGGAAGCTTTTCCTTATGGTGGAGACGATAGCTAGCCTACCGTTCCGACGGTACGACCTACCGTGTCGGCGGTACCAACGTACCGTCGGGACAGTAACTGGCTACCGTTCTACGCGTAGTTTTGAACAGTGACATCTTCAACCTCGGGCCAATTTTCGGAAATATTATTTTTAGTCACCAAACTTCAATTAAACTATACAAACATTCTAGTCACTAGATATATCTATGGGCTTACCTCGAAGCTTAACGAAGGTTTTTTGAAATTTTCCGGCGATGATTACTCTCAGCTTCGGCGAATTCTCACCAAATTGATAGCAACACAGTATTCCTTACACTCTCAAGAACATAATAAAAGAAGAAGTAAAGAGAATTGTAACACCCTAATCCGTCCAGGTCTGCAGCCCCTTTCGGACTAAAGTATTAACATGGTAATCGTAAAATTTAAAACTTTTCAAACACTTTTATTTATCACGATAATATTTTTCATAACATATACAGTGCGGAGTTTTCAATATTGCGGAAGCTTAACAAATCATAATTACAAACATAATTTATTTATGTTCTTTAATTCAAAACCATCACATCCATTCCGACAATCTCGCCTCCGTCTGCCTCCAGAATCACATCACATCATTCTTTCTATTAACCTGCGTGTAGCAAATAAAACATACTACACGCTCAGCGGTGAAGCTNTCGTCATTCAATATTCATATTCAACATTCAACATCCTCATTCAATAATATCCTTAAACTATTCTTAGTCTAAGGCCAATCTTTTTAATGTTTACCAACTCTTAAACTAGTTCTAGTTTAAGGTACTTCTATCCAACTCTTAAACTAATTCTAGTTTTAATGTACTTTTATCCAACTCTTAAACTTATTAGAGTTTAAGGTACTTCTAACCAACTCTTAAGCTAGGTCATTAGTTTAAGGTACATATATTCCGATTGATTTACCAAATCTTAAACTAGCCTTCGCTTAAGGTACAAATCCAGAAAACCGAACAGTAGGATACTAACTGTCGGGTTGGGTGGCATCCCCAAACGAGTTCCTCTAGTTTGGTTATGGATCCCGTATGTACGTTTTAACCCAGGCCACCGAATATTCATAATTATACTCGCAAGGCCCATTTCTAAGTCATCTTAAAGGTCTTCTAGATAGTCTTAAAAACCAACGTCAACCTAGGTATATCTTAGAGTTCTTCTAGATATCCTTAGAATTCAAATCATTTCATAATCATCAACATATTAATCTTCAATAATCATTTTAATCAGTAGTTTCATCAAGTCATAATCATCATAATAGTCATTCATCATAATCATCAATCAACATAACATTTGATAACAAACAGCGGCCTAGTCTCGAGTGTTAACACCCGAACTTACCGTCATGCATCACATAACATTTTTTAGTTGTTAAAAAAATCATTTTTATTATGGTAAATCATTTTTATAATGGTCATAATCCATTGGTATCAAAAATAGGATTTTAGAACTCAAAAATAGCAATTTTAGACAAATTTTCGGATCAGAACTTCAGGGGATCGATCCAGCCCTCTGGATCGATCCATACTATGAAAAATTACTCCCAGGGGATCGATCCAAGCCCCAGGATCGATCCAGACAGTGGCTTTTCAGCCACTATTCATCGTCTTCTACCTCGCGACTTCAATTTCGGGAATTCCATTTTTAGGTTCCAAACTTTGATTAAACTATATAGAAATGTTCTCCAAGGTTCAAAGATCATTTTGGCATCATTAATTCATAGTTTTAACATCAATTTAATGGTTTATGATTCTTGGTTCTTCAAGCATGTCAAACACAAAACTCAACCAAACGACCGTTTATGAACATAGAAACGATCTATACAAACATTCTAGTCATTAGATATATCTACGGGCTTACCTCGAAGCTTAACGAAGGTTTTGGATATTTTCCAGTGAAACTTCCGGCGATGATTACTCTCAACTCCGGCGACCTCACACCAATACGACAGCACCACCACGTTCTCCTCACTCCCAGCAACAGAATAGAATGAAACTTTGTAAGAAATGGTGAAGAATGGAGGGAGTTGTGGTAGTCTTTTATAGGAGAAGGAAGAGGAAGAAGACACGGTGATCTCCTATTTTGGCGTCTCAGTGGAGCGGACGGCCTATCTCTACAATTCCAAACGCAAGTCCCTGATTGGGACTAATTTGGTCCCAGTCGGGGAACACTTTTTGGTTTAACTTTCTCCGAATTGAAATCTGTTTGCACCGTTGTGATCGTACATTTAAACTCTATCCAACGATATAATTTTTATATTTATTTGTAATACTTTTTCCGGCATCATATTTTTGGGTGTTTGACTTTGACAGAGTCAAAATTGATTTAATTGACCTTTACTCAAAAAGGTTCTTACATTTCATTCATATTATTTATTCTCATGATTTATTTCAATAAATCATTTCAAAGTTCATATCATAAATAAATTTCTTAATTTATCCTTGATTTGGGTCTGTACTCAGGTTCCCAATCAAGGTCACACAGTAAGTCAACATATTGGATTAATCTCTATGAGATTTATCCGGATCATGATATTGGATATCAAAACATATTTTATTTTGGCCCAAGGCCCAACAACAATTTATTTTTAATCAAAAAAAATTTCATTAATTAATTATTTATTCATTAAAAATTTTAGGGTATGTTTTAGGGCGTTACAAGAATGGTGTAGAAATGAGAAGTTAGCTCTCTCTCCTTATATAGGAAAGATGATGAAGAAGGAAACAAATTGTTGAGTCACTGCGTAGGAAAATTCACGATTGGCGATAGTGGAGGAGGAGGCGATGTTCCCTGATTGGGATTGATTTGGTCCTAGTCGGGGCACACTTTTTGGTCCAACTTTCTCCAAATTGAATTCCGTTTTTAGCCTTC